GCCGTCGTTTATTAAATAGGTGACGGTGATGAGTTCCACGGCCGATTGGATCGATAGAGAGGCCTGGAAAAGAATCGAACCGGTTGATGAAATTTCTTCGCACTGATGGTTGAACGATAGATGCGGCGGTGCTATTGGTGTTTTTTTTCTCTGCCGTATTGAAAGCCGACCCGACTGAGATACGCGTTATGGCTGCCGACCCCAAACGACCGATTGCTCTACCGGCGGTGAAAATTCAACGTGTGCTCAATGTCCCAACTACCTACAACACAGTTGCATAACCATTACTTCCACTTCTCCATCTTCAGGGTTGGCCTATTTAACCTAGGTGGATGCCACTCTTAGGTAGAGCCGATAACTTGACATTAATCTAATTCGAGCAGTGGAGGTCGAACTTAACCGATGTAGCCGTACTTGAACTAGATAAAGATCGATAACTAGCTTATGCTAGAGCTCATAGTGGAGGTCGAACTTAACTAATACAGCCTTACAAACCAAAGCATAAGCCATAACGGTACTTACAGACGAGCCGGAGGTCGGCCGGACCGATGCAGCCCTGCTTGTTGAAGAACTCGCCGAGATCTACACTACTCCTACTCCTAAGGGTTGGCGTAAAACCAAAAAAGTAATTTGTATTGATTGATTGGATGTCCTCTTTACAATAGCCAGGGTCCAATATTTATACCCGGAGCCTAAGCATGAATCCTACTCAAGTACGACTCATTACAATCTTTGGTATAAAAAAACATTCCTAACTTAAGATAACTTGGACCTTAATCTTTTCCTTTTTGTAGAGTCCGATATGTATTTTTCGACGCCAACCATAGCTCATTGTCGTCATCTACTGACGTCATTCGAAGAGAGCCGATTCTAGTGCCGCATCTGAATCAGCTGATATCGATCCTTATGCAATCGATTCCTTGATTGACACAATCTTGGAAGCTTCGAGTTCCCGCGTTCTTCTTCCCAAATTTTGGTGTAAACAATAAGCAACCATCGTGCGTGTTGCAATAGTAACTATTGCAGCACACCCGGCGTTGCCAGAGATATCTGTTGCCACATACCCAAAGAGTGGCAATAGGTGCACTAGCAACGACAATGGGCGTTGCAATAGACCCTATTGACACGCATCAATAGCATTGTAATAGATAGACCCTCTATTGCTACACTATCTCTATGGTTGCTATAGATAGACCCTCTATTGCCACGATAAATATTTGGTTGCTACAGGTGGCCTCTCTATTGCCACACTATATCTGTGGTTGCTATAGGTGGAACCCTCTATTTTCACGAAAAAATTTTGGTTGCTAGATGTGACCTCTCTGTTGCCACACTAACCATTGTGATTGCTATAAATGAAACCCTCTTTTACCACAATAAATGTTTGGTTGCTAGAGGTTGCCTCTCTATTGCCACACTAAATATTGTGGTTGCTATAGGTGAAACCCTCTATTGCCACGCTTACTATTGTGTTGTTGTAGTTTGAAGACTCTATTGCCACGCCAACTCTTTCGTTGGTATGAGGTTTTTTGCTACACCGTTTGTTTGTTGTTATAGCATTATATTGCAACGCCAAATGATTATGCTGATAGTCCATATTGCAATGCTTTGTTTGGTACAAACAATAATTGCACACCATTAATTTTTTTAATAATATATGATGAATGAAGCATTTAGACATCCATTAAACCAAAATATGATTTCTCTACAAATTATTAATGAAACCATCAAATGTCAAACTCAACTTAGACACACGCACAGCTCAAACACATAGGGTATCCGACACACTTGTTTGATCACATCAAAATGTAATGAGCTATCTAGCACTTCCCCAAAGTTGGCTTGACATTGACCATCCCATCACTCGTGCGCTCCACTCAAACTTTAGGTTCCTCCTGAAAAGAATCATTAACATTAGTATATGCATCAGGTAACTAAAACTGTAATATTTTAGAATCATAAACTAAAGACTAATAGGTTTGTAAATTTGCAGATTCATTCAAAAGGAAAATTACTCATCAAAAGGCTACGTGATCAATTTTTTCCTTACAACAATGGCAATGTATTTTGCTATCAGCTGCTGGGCTTAATGGAACGTATCCAACATCAATAATAATTTGCAACAAGAATGTAGAGATGATCTAAATTAGTAGAAATCAACTGCTTAACTTAGTAATGGAATGACTCCAAATTCGCCATGCGCTACAGCATATGATCGAATCAATGAAACTTAAATGAAAGGAAATAAATTAGAAGCCAACACACCTAACCTACACCATCTGCAGGTTCAAATGTTCGCTCTGATTGCTCATAGTAAACAAGCTAAAGTACACAGGAAGTGAAGTACTAAAGGCAACATGCAAAATAGTAAGATTAAATAAAGGGCAGACCCAGTGCCGGAGGCTTCCACATGAGTGGGGTCTGGGGAAGGGATAAACCGAGACAAACCTTTCCCCCGCAAAATCTGCGAAGAGGCTGCTTCGAACCCACGACCTGGTGACTCAGTGAGACAGCTCTCACCACTGCACCAGGCCTGCCCTTTAAATAAAATATATAAATATGGAACAGGTAAGCTATTAAGGTGGTTCCACAGTGAATTGTATTAGTACTCTTCACTTTATTATTGAAAAGTCTTTCTGAATAAAAAGTGCCATCTTCCATACAAAAGCAAGACTACCATAAATTTGCCTCGAACAGCAAAGTAACTATCAGGCCAGTCTCAGTGGGGATTTCATGGCCCTGTTACCAATGCATCCATATTTTGGAAATAGTGCAGAAGAGTTTCATCCCCATGAAACTCTCTCTACTCTCATAAAACTCTTATCATCTCTCTCTTCATCAATACGGTGCCACATCAGCCTATTTAATGCCCATGAAACTCTGATGAAACCCCAACATTCCTCGAGTGATCTACAGAACCTTCCATTTCAGATGTCATGTTACCACCAAAACCAGAGTGCTAGTCCTGGAGGGATCTCCTCTATTTATTTCAAAGGCTAATTTTTGCTATCTTGTGCAAGGGAAAATATATTACTGGGAACATACTGTTCACAAACATGTTTACGTTGTTTGTTCTTGTTCTATCTTAACACAACAAAATATATACATATTCAAAATTTTATGTCAGATTGGCACGCTAACAAAAGTATTACAGATCCATTGATGTAGTGTGAGCGTAACCACAGGGTGCAGACAGACCAGTTACTAAGTATAGTATCTTGTTTTACTAGCATAAACTTTGCACATGAACCTAGAAACAAAAGGTTCTTCCTATAGAAGTTATTATTACCTGAATATTGACTGTATCTTCGTACCCAATGTTTATATCTGCCACAAGCACCTGAAGATTCATGAAATAAAATTAGTGTTAATTGTACAAGGGCACGAAGAAGCTCGGTGCCTTATGTTGGCAGTGGCTTTGCACTGTGTACATGAGATACAGCTTCCTGCATACATGCTTGCTGTTCAGATGCCTGCTGCTTCCTGTTTCATACATGCTGCTGCCTACATGCCTTCATATGCTGACAGCGCAAACATGTGAAGGACATGCTCTTTATGCACAGAAATTAGCACTGAAAATATGATAAAGTATCCATGTCAGCTCCGAGAATACAAGCTATAAAAATTATGACTGAATACTATGGCAATACCAAATGGTCACTACTGCTGTATGCATCAGACAATAGAGATTCTTACTTGTGAAGCTAATCATTTGAGTAGGAGTAATGATATTGGATCCAAATTCACACCACAATCACAGAGAATATTTCTCATTCTGCCATTTAGCCATTCAATACTACTAGAAATACCCCCCTGTAGTGACGCTTCATTTATATGTTAGACACGTTTTATTTCGTCTCAGAAATGAGGAAATAAGGCATAGCAATTCATTCTAACAGAGAGATGATGTATATATTTTGGATATACATAACGAGAAAATGCTTTAAAATGTGGCAGACATATTTTGTTTCTATATTTAAGTGATGCCACACGGTGAGGAAGAATGTACATATTCTGTACTGGAGTCATAAGGCAATAATTCTCGTTAGCTCTTGCAGTTGTAGGTGCTTATGTTCCACTTGAGGTGGTGCATTAGTGCATGTGGTTGTTGGGGCTGCTGATAAGCAGCAGCCACACACATGATCTTGATATGTTTGGCTGTGCAAGCTGCATGACAGATATTTCATAGTATTATTACCTTTTTTCTAGGTTTTCAATTTTTTGCTGTGTTAATTAGAAACAGAATTGTTATAAATAGATACTGAGAGAGGCTTAGTTCACTACTGTGTTCGCATTAGCATTATTCAGGAGATTCCACACATACTAATTGTGCTCATCTACTCTCCTCTGAATATAGGACACATCTTGCTTGCCATGGAGCCTGAAGCCCTACCTATGTTTACTCCTGTTGTCAAACCTCAAGGTTGCAGTACTATGGCTCTCCTCAGTCCTCATACATCTATCTGTGATCTTCTCACTTCTCACTTCTTTATGTAAAACCTACACCATGGCAGAGGCTTTCTCACTGACTAAAGCCTTCTCCCTTAAGTGCAGTACCGCACATCAACCCTGCACTTCTAAGTTCTAACACCTTGTCACACGAACATGTGAAAAAACTGCTAATGCATGGACTTGTGAACTGCTTCTTCCCAATCTGAACCACACACATATATCTGTATCTACGCTACGGCAGGGCTGTTCTCAACTCAAGGTTTATAGTAATTTGAAGTAAATCTATAGATTGAGGACAGTATCCAAAACGCAGCAAAAGAACAGACCAGGACACGATCTACGCCAATTGAAATAACCGTGTACCTATCACGATCAACTAACAAAGATACGTTTCTTGCTCATCTGTCTTTGTGTGAGAGAGAAGGGGGATTCGTTCATCACCTGGGTGATGCGGAAGCGGCCTCACCAGGAAGACTCATGAAAGTATGACTTGCTGGGCTTCACCTCAACACCTGCAAAATATAAGAAGCATTCAGAAAAAATGACAGATGGATCAGGTCATGGACAGCGAATGGAGTTCTTCTTGGGATGCAGCAGCTTCTCCCTCATGGCAAGATCTGTTGGCGATAATGGTAATACCTGTGGAAGTTGCCCTTCATCTTCACCTTGGACTCGGCGGCGCTGGCAGACGGGACGAGGTGGGAGTCGAGAAGTATGCTGTCGTAGATACGGGTGAGCTCGGCCTCGATCTTGGAGCGATAGGCGCGGAGAGAGGGAGCACGCGTACCGGCGAGGATGCCACCGTCGCCGATGCTGGAGCTAACCGAGGGGTGGGCGCCACCGCCGCCGCGGCATCCGCGCCAGGGCAACGGATGGGGCCGGAGCTGCCCCGCACCCGCGCCGCACTGCCGCCCGGCATCCCGCCGGCTGTGGGCGCAGGCGCGCAGCCATGCCGTGCGGGCTGCAGTTTCTGAGGAGGCACTAGTGCGTCTGGTCAGGACTAGGAGACGGCGGCGTTCCTTGGGCGTGGGCGGAAATTGGGGATCTGGGAGCGTGTTCGTGTGGACCGCGGAGAGAATACAGAGGGGAAATTTTCTGCGTGTTGAGCGCGCGCGGCACGGCGGGACAGAAAAAAAAAATCGGCGGGGATTAAATATTTTGGGATAGGTGGTAAAGGCAAAACAAAATTAAACCAATTTTTTAATTGCAGGTTGAGCGCGCCGGGTGGGAGAGAAAAAAAAAACTGCAGCGGATAAAAAAATTGGAAATGCGCAGAGGAAGAAAATTGAAACCCCAATAGATTTTTGGGACAATAAATATTTTTTAATGAAAGCATAATTAACTACAAAGTTAAGATCTACAACTTTTCTTCTATCCGTTTTTCCATTCGAGGTAGTTTTGAAAATTTGAATTTCAAAAATTGAGTATTTCAAATATAATTTTAGGATCACAGACAATTTCAAATGAAGATGTCATCAACTACAATATTGTTGATCTCATGAAGATTTAGAACATTGTTTTGATCATTTCTCCACCTGAGATAGTTTGGACAATTACAAAAAAAATTAAATTCGTGGAGTTGAGCTTAGCATGTTAAATTTAAATACATTATAAATATCATATTTACACCTCATGTAGTTATTATAAAGTACTCACAAACAATTTCAAATGAGAAGGTCATCAACTACAATATTGTTGATCTCATGCGGATCTAGAACATTGGTTTTGATCATTTCTCCATCCGAGATAATTTGGACAATTATAAGAAAATTTAGGTGTCATTAAAATTCAAACTACTAAGTAACTAAGAAACTAGATGCAAGGTATGCAAACATAAGTAAGCAAGGCATATGTACTTGAGATTTTATAAATCGCTACAAATACATTTGAATTCTAAGAACACATATTATTGCCAAAAAATATAATTAAATAGTTTACATAACAATATATGTAATCAATGCTAACTATCTGTCATTTTGGAACTTGCTAGTGAGTGGATAGAATATTATAGGAGGTTAGTGGTAATATTTGGTAAGTCACTCCACAAAAGGTTCATAGCTACCGAGTAAAGGTCATGTACTCTGTGGAATAAGCGTTATTTGGAACCATACTATTACAATATCATGGATTAGAAATCTACTATTAGTCTATTACTATTCGTGATATTGGAAACGTGCCATTACGATTCATACGCTGCTTGAACCATGCCACTTTATACGTCCTAGATGTCTTTTGGACCCACATGCATGTAGTCTACCATATTTCCATAGAGACGAAAATGGCCCTTCTATTCCTCTATCTCTCTCTCCACTTCCTATGGGGCCACTACCATCTCTCTCCCGCACCATGTCTCCCCGACCTCCACGCTATCAGTGTCGCCCACTATTGCTCTGGATGTCGCCACGGAGTACATGCCTTTACATTAATATTAGTATAGAACCAAGACAATGTTGTGTGCAATGGGTTGTATTGACATAAAGTACAAGATATATATGTTGGAATGATCTTGGCTTAGTCAAATGACTGATCGAGTCATAAGGGCCTAATAGCCATCTAAATGGTCCATGACTGATGATCAACATGAACAAACGGTCACTAGCCTGGTCCCAGGGATGCCCGAGCTATAAGAAGTGGGGACTACGGTATATAAGGGATGAACACACTACGACTGTCCTTAGCCACCCCCTAACCACCTACCGGTCAAGGTGAGCTCGAGACATCTCCTGAAGACTAGGATCCAGCCGCCGGGCACCCTATGTCGGCGTCCTCGTCATTATTGCCCTCAACACCTCGCCTGCTTCCTCACCAAGCAGGCACGGGTCTTCTCGGTGGCCCTCTAGGCATCTCAGATTCAAAGGTGTGGCCCGAGAAATTAGAGGTCTGAATCTACGGTCTGCCGTGGCAACATATTTTGGGCCCATAAAACATATATGATTATATGTTTTATTTCAGCTCATGTCCTAAAAATTAATGAAAAAATGTGTTTTGTTAGGGATTAGAACTTATATTTTGATTATTCCAAAAAAGGCAATAATATCATAAATTGGTCTAAAAATTGGCCTTGGGGAACAATATTGGTGTATAGACGTATAGTACCGCGTTGTTAAAATCATTTGAATTTTTCTAACGAAGTTTAGATATTAATAAAATTATTCTATGATAATGCCACAAAATAATTATAATAATATCTAAATTTGTTTTAAAAATTCTACGAACAGACACAAAAACATATTTTAGGTCCATAAGCTTTCTAACAAAATTCCAAACAATTTTAATAAAATAGCACTATACATTATTCATAAATAGAATCGGACATAACAACATTATGTGAATGGAGAATGCATGGGTAAGAGGTGGGTCCCGGCACTAGTGGTCGGCGAATCCGCCACAACTAGGGATAAAAACTGGTGGAGAAAATGCTCTAACTATTTTAAAATTCACATTCTTATATGGAAACATAAAACTTATAAAAATAAAAATACATACTAATCGTAAAGGAAAATTAAAAGAAATATCATGCTTCTTGTAAGAATAGTATATTGCCCGTGCTAACGCTACGGTGGCGTCTAAAAAAATAAATTATAAAGCTAAAACAAATCATAAAACTATAAAAATAAATCAACTGATGAAAGAAACAGAGAGCATCATAAAAAAGAATAGCAAAATCCCATTAATATCTTGTTTCATTGCTACAAAGGCTTTTTTTACTATATAAAAAAACATGAAACTACATATACATATCAAAAGAAAAGTGTCCCATGAAACTACGTTCCTACAGCTCGTTAGGGCAAAGCTATTTCTCCGTGAGCGCACACACAGTTCGGCACTCAGTACAATTAACCTTGTCCTGAATTCAGTTTGAACTCCAGTAGATTGCCATAAGAACACACTGCAGAAAGAAACATGCGCGATCTGATCCACCATCAGGGCGAGTCTGAAGGTGAAGATGGACAGGGGAGCTGGTCCATCAGACGGCCACACCTGCAGGTCACGCGCACCACCACCTTGGCACCAGAGCAGGCCACGCTGGACACTTCCACCTCTCGCTCCTTAACATTCAGGTTTCATCAGAACAATACAGATAGGTTGCCAAATACAAGGCAAAGAAGCTAAAGAAATGAACAGCGTCATTAACAATTAGCTGGACTAATACAAGAAATGTTTTGCATGCAGTTAAGATTTCTGAATTGTAATTGGAGTTATCAACCTTGCACGTAAAGTTTCATGAAAGAAATTTGGCACAGGATTATCACTTATTTCACACAAAGGAGATCATCAGCTTCAGAATATTTAACACAGGAAAATAAGCTACAAACGTCTACCAGGAGATCATGACTTAAAAGAATCACACAGCATATACAAAGAGTGGATCACAACAATCTTAATGGAATGAACACACTCTGCTTGAGATGCAACATTCGGGTCTTCACAATGCAAACCAATCGTATGATTTGGGAAATCCTTTTTTGTGACATTGACTTAAATATCTTCAAAAACAAAAAGAAGAATATTATGCCTCGCTACAGAAAAAAAGTATTTCACAAACTGGTACTCTCTCAAATTACATTCCAATGTTTTCCATTTTGAACAATTACATTGCGACTCCACTAATTACCATACAACCAAATATATATTTGGAAATATATATTATAGCTTCTAAAATTCTTTTTGACTAAATTGATCCGTAGTTTCTTGGAAGAGTAAAATGATGGCAGCCACCATACACCTTGATATATTTTTTCTTCCATTGCAAAGCACAGAAACATTTAGACATAAATATATCATAACTACGTTTGCTATAAGAAATATTACCATATAAGTTGTTTTTCTCTGGCAGCTTATATATCTACCATACAATGAAAAAAATAGTACATATATATTACCATCACAATCCATTATTCTAGTGCAAAGAAATAGGACTTGAGTGAACATGTAGCTAGGCTATTGGGGTAATAACAGAAGAGACCCCTAGTATAGAGAGAACAAAACTCAAGCAATCGGTCAAGTTTCTCCTATAAATCATGATATTTAGCACAGAAAGGATTTCCTTGTCCATAGACATAATACTATGTCGCTTGCACATTGAATTGGATAAGGTTTTCAAAATGTTGTCTACTGTCGCTGCAATGTTAATGGTTGTTCATCTGCTTATGACATACCTTTTTTATCATGTTGCACTGCCCATCCTTTGGGCAACACCAACTTTCAGATCCAGTGCCATGGTACTGCAGCTACAGAAACATAAATAGAACATGGTTATAATAAAAAAAATGCATTACATTTGCAAAAACAAAACAAAACTGCATGACAAATGGAAGAAGGATTACAATGAGAGCTGGCAGAACTCTAGCCTGAACTGAAGTAGGACGATAGTCAACCTCCGTGCCAAATTCACTTGCACACTCGGTTCTATCTTAGTCATTGTGCTCACCACCCTAAGCAAAAGGGATTTAGAGAACTTTAAGTTTGTTTACATACAATTTAAATAAGATAAAACAGAAAAAGAAATGCATAAATAGCAAGAACCTGACGAATGTTGTCCTCGCGGACAGATGGATGGACGCTGGCAGGTTTAGAGTCCATAAGCCACATTCTGAGTAGTCATCTCTCCCAAACACATGACTGAGAAGTAACCACATTGACCAGCAACCAAAGCTTCTTTTGAGTTTGTTTTGACCATGTCAAGGAAAAAGGATAATACCGTATAACACATAGGGCCTTCTAATCAACATGCAAGAGATCAAACAAGGAATGGCACTACTTCCGAAGCACACAACCATCGTAAAAGCTGGCCTGTAGAAGACAGGGAACAGAACCTACAGTTGCAGGACGCTGCAAACAAACACAACAGAACTCACCCACAATGTCAAGCCTGTAATTCTTCCTTTTTTCAAACAAGATTCAACTAAAATTTCTATGAACAAGGAAGAGGGAAGGAAGAAAAAGGAGGTCATACCAGACTTAGTTTCCCTTCTCATCTTCCGTCGATCAGCTGTCAGTCAACAAAAAAAAACTTTAACACTGAGACCGTCATAATTTAACCTTCAACAAGAGATTTTTTTTTTTTAATATTCACCTGAAGAGCCTTGTATGTGCACCAAAAACCGATGCAGACACAACAGGTACAGGTCTGATCTTCAGCTCCTGGATTTTCAAAAGAGCCATATGGCAACAGATGATGATTGCAACAGCCAATTAGACGCGCCTAAACATTCATCCAAAATGGAAATCAAACCAAGCACGTTGAAAACTTGAGATGACAATGCATTGAGGATAACTACCTTGAGAAACTCCCCAATCACTTGATATTGTGAGGGAAAATGACAAGCTGTACTGCTACTGAGCCCAATTGATATGTCTTGTTGTCTGGTTACAATCAAAATGTGCTCTCAAACAAGCATATAAATTCAAATTTGAGGAATCAAAATTCTTCCTGAATGTACCAACGCAGCTTGCACTCGGCGATGCCTTCCCCAGCCTGTGCCAGTGGAGGCCAGCGCAACAGCAGCATGAATCAACGAGATATAGAGAGAGGAAAAAAAAATCATCCGGCACAAAAGGAGCACACGAACCTTTGCCGAGGAGCCGCGGCGACCGAATCCAGATGCGGGAGGTCGACCTCCGAGTCGACTGCGCCGCTGGGTCCGGCACCGCCGCGGTCATCCCGCACCGAGGTCGCACTGCAGCGCTAGACGGGGAGGAGCGGGGCGGCGGCGGCGCGGCCGCGGTGCCGGCGCGGGGTCAGTCGGGACAGGGCAGCGCATCGGTTCCGCTCCTGATGCGGGAGGTCGACCTCCGCGTCGACTGCGCCGCCGGGAACACCACCGCCGAGGTCTCCATGCTGCGGCGCCGACGTGGGATGATCCAGGGCAGGGCAAGGCGTGTGCTAGGGCGGCGGCCGGCGGCCAATGCAAAGGCGGGCGCTAGGGCGAGGGCTATGGGATTTGGAGCGGAGGACTGATTGTGGAGCGAGGCGCGGGGGAGCAAGGGAGCGAGACCGGGGAAACCGCGTGTACCCCCGGCGGCGACCCGTCAGGCAGCACCCCAGGCGGCGAGATTAGGGGTTGAGGCGTCCTGGGTCGACGGGATGGGAGGGAGCAGGGAGCGGAAGGGGACGCGGGTACACTTTTTTTTCCAAAAAAAATTGAGACGGAGAAGGTGGGATCGAACCCGGGTGGTGCGATGCGGGGAGGAGGGCGACGCGCGTCGGGCGGCGTGGGAGAGGAGCGTTTGAAGCCCGTGTTGAAGCCTGATTTGATACGTAGAACACTGGTCATCGGATCTCTTGCCTTTGATTTTAACGAGGACGATTTGCTAGGTGTATTTTTTTTTATGCATAATGGTCGGACTTTCTCAGCGGAGGACGCAATCTTAGGTATACCTAGTATAGTTCTGATTGGTCCGTTATACTCTCTTCATCCTAAATTATAAGTCATTCCAATAATCTTGGAAAGTCAAACCATCTCAAGTTTGACCAAATTTATACGATAAGATAATAACATTTATGGTGCCAACGAAGTATCATTAAATTTTTTATCAATTATATTTTTATAGTATATCTATTTAATGTCATAAATTTTTATAATTTTTTTAAAATTTTAATTAAATTTGAGATGCTTTGACTCTCTAAGATTATTAGAATAATTTATAATTCGGTATGGAGGGAGTAGTAGAGATGACGACGCATGTAGCTAGCAAGCCTTGGCCCATGCACGCTTGGAGCATTGGAGGCCAAAGGAGCGTTGCATGCACATGCAAGGAGCAAAAAAAAAACTCCACAGCAATAGTCCCACCATGCCAAGGGGATCTCAGTTGGACGTGTTGGTGACCCATAAACCCGACCAAGGTGAGGTGCCGGGGTGCCGCAGGAGCAGCTTCTGAACTTTGGGCTCACGGGCTGTCTCCTAAGCGTTTGAGTTTCCGGGAAAAAAAACGGGAATTAAGCTGGTAAAAACAGGAACCGTAAAAATGGTCGGGAAATGCTCAAAATCATCATATATTTTGCTACGTCATTTATGAACTTATATGATTGGATTTTGCTACGTCATTTAGAGCATGATTAGAAACAGAGTATAGCTTCAAATGTGGGGCCCGGTGGTCAGCAATGCAGGCGAGGGGAGAGAGCCAGCAGAGGTTTGGAGCAGGAGGCACGGTGCCCAAGGTGGTGTCCACCCGTCAGTAGCGGCGAAGGGAAGAGGAGCGTGGGATTTTGTGGGCTGGTGCAGGTGATGTGACAGGCCCAATGCCCATGCACCACATGGCCAAGGGCCCGCGTGTCAGCGTGCGTAGGACTATCAAACTGTTATCTCAATTTATTTTTTTTATAAGAAAAAGTTGAGTAATGACGGTTATGTATGAAATAAGCGTTCAAATGTGAAAAATAAACTGCTCTAATGAGCTCCAAATTGTTCTAGTATTTTATACTCTTTTTCTTTGGTAAACTATTTTTTCTTCTGGTGAATGTCTAAAAGTTCGCTCACTTCTGTTTCAAATACAAAATTGTTGTTATCTAGACACAAGATCTCTCGTAGCTCAATGGTTCATCTTTGGTTTTGTCGGAGATATGGGCTCGGGATACCTCACCGCCTATATTTCGACCCGAGACTATCTACGGACCGAAGAAGGCTAGTATGAGGCCCATGAATGTCGAATGCTGCTCTGGACTTGAGAAGCAAGTAAGCAGGCGTATATATAGCTAATATTCCGATATCCACGGGATATGATCGACTGTTGTACTTTCCATATAACAAAATAGGAAAGCCATCATAGCTCACGCCAAGACTTCGTGAATCGAGCATACGAAAAAGGAGAAGATCTACTTCATGGACCTAGTTACACACGGAGAATTTCGCAGGGGTGGATGACCTAATTTTTTGTTTTTACCATTTTTTCTTGGTGGCGGCACTCAGTTATTTGGGCCAAACAGAGTAGGGCCATTGGTAGTTGATAATAAAATATATTCAGCAGAACTTGACTCTTGACATGAATGAGATGATGGTCTACTGGTTAGGTGCTTGTTGTTTGTGGTTTCTGGCACAAGATCAAATCTTGTATGGCATAAATTTTTCCGATTATTTTTTATTATTTTCTAGTGCTTGTTCCGGTTTTCATTTTTTCTAGTGCCATGATTTGTTTGCAAATATTTTACCAAAAACAAAATGCGCATAAATAATTTGATGAAGTTGAATATTCTTTTAGACTTAAGATTTTAGGAGATGTTTTTAAATTAATGCAACAACAGCTTATTACAACGAACACACGCCTATAGCAACATTAAATAAACTGTGGCAATAGTGATATTGCGTCCATTTAGGGTTCTAGATGCAATAAACAGCTAACAATTGCAACGCCCTCTATAGCAAAGTTCTACAACTCATCGAGATCTACAACTTTTCTTTTGGTCATTTCTCTCCGTCCGACTTTGTTTGAACAATTCAAATTTATGACCGATAGCTCAAGCCGATGTTTCCTATAACAAATAAAATAAAACACTCTTTTCACAAACATATGGGGGGGTGGTTGGTGTCCTCTTGGCGATATTGGTGTGGTTGTAGGTTCAAATCTTGGTGGATGACCTATTTTATTTTTCTTGTCTTTTTTTCCACACCATGCAAAAATTGAATTTCAAAATATAGAAACTTCAAGTAGAATTTTAGGACAAGTAAATGATTTCAAATGGAGTTTTATTGTGATTTTTTATGCCATGCTAAATTTGTTTTGGTTGTTTTCTTTATTCAAGTTTGTTTGAACAATCACAATTTGAATTTCAAAATATGAGAACTTCAAATAAAATTTTGGGATAGTAATATTTCAAATGGAAAATTGCCAACAACAACAAAGTTGTACGACTCCATCGAGATCTACAACTTTTGTTTTAGTCATTTTTCCATCAAACTTTGTTTAAACAATTCAAAATATAAATTTCAAAATAAGAGAACTTCGAACAAAATTTTGGAACATTAAATGATTTCAAACGAAAAAGTTGTAGAACTCATCGAAGTCTACAACTTCTATTTTGGTCATTTCTCCATCCCACTTTGTTTGAACAATTCAAAATTTATATCCCGATAGCTCAAGTCATGGTTCCTATAACAAATAAATTAAAACACTAGAAGTTTCACAAACATGAAAGTGGTCTAGTGGTAAAGGGGTTTTTGCTGTCCTCTTGGGGGTGGTGGTGAGGTTGTAGGTTCAAATCTTGGTGGACACCCCTTTGAACTTCAAAATGATTTGAACTTTGGTTTTGGTCATTATGTGAGTTTGTTTGAACCATTCAAAAATTTGATTAGAATGGATATGCACATATTTTTTAGGATAGATGGATCATGTAGTTGCCAACAACGCTAACTAGATAGTTATCAATTTGTTGGGCCCTTGCCCACACCCAATGGCCCACCAAATACTAGTGTCCCCAACAACATTGTATTGCAACGAACACATTAGTCTACAACAACACAAAAAACCATGACAATAGTAACATGTAATTACATCCATTTAGATTCCATTTGCAATAACAATTGCAACACCACAGTAAGATTATTACATCCCAAAACACCATGGCACATAGGAACATGCTACCGCAAGAACCATTTTAGAATTTTGTTGCAATAACCACCTAGCAATTGCAACACCACTAAAGATTATTGCAACCCACAATAACCATGGCAATAGTTACAAGCAAACGCAACTAAATCCAATATAGTTGCAATAACACCAAGTAATTACAACGAAACTCAATACTAATGCAACTCCAAAGCGCCATGGCAATAATGCCAACTAATTGCAACACAATTCTAAAATGGTTGCAGTAGCACATGCCTGTTGTAACGACAAACCACACATATTGCAACACATTTAGTCCGTTGCATTATAGGCGCATATTGCAACCATTTTACAAAAAGGTTGCCATCTGACCCCCTAACGCTACCAAATTAGTGTTGTTGCAATGGTGTGGCGTGGCATTAGGGGAAAACCTTCAGTAGTGGCGGTTTTGACCTTGTCCTAAGAGTCGACTACCTCCGCACCTCGGCCCCATCCTATGGGACTTCAAGGATCTCTGCATGTTGTGACAGAATCGCCTAATTTATACAAGATCAAGTATGGTCTGTCCCCGCAACACGCTGACACACACATACTTTCACTCATATAAACCCGGTAGTCCGCCGAGTGTCCCAAAAGACCTCGGTAAATCAACATCACAACCAAGATCGCGTGATTAAGCAAATACACATCACATACACAGGGTTGCAATGAAATAATATTACATATGGGTTCACAAATAAAAGTACAAGTTTGGGTTTCAAAACCGCTTAGTGAAAACAACATAGCTTTCAAATGATTACATTAATATAAGTTCCAAATATATTGCTAGCATAAGTGACATCATCCGACAAAAGCATATAGATGAGAAGCAACTATAGAATCACCGAGCCCATCTGACGGTTAGCCACCATCTTCAATAGGCCGAGAACTCCACCCGCAACATGGTGGGATAAACCCCGAGTACTGAATGTACTCAAACTGCACTTACCTGGCTTTAAACCAAAACAAATGACACCAAGGATCATGCATAGCTTAATTTAGTGGATCCGGTTGGACAACCTTGCATGCATAAAAGCTTGAGTAAACCATTAGCATTATTCAACCATTTACTAGCAAAGTGACTTTTAGCCATTACCTACCATCTATATTAGCACTGTACTAATCAATCACTTGATTGTTGCAAACAATAATAACCATATCGTATTTCATGGCTCATTGTCATTATCATCATCATCATCATCATTTAACCATATCTTTAAATTTAGTGAATCCACGCTGTCTGCCGCTTCACCAAGTTCTCACTATCCGGAGAGACGGCGATTCAATCGATTCCTATCCAATTTGAGGGGTATTCCTAAACACAAACCTCGCTTCCCCGTGTGTGGTCGCAAACGAGTCACCTTTGTACGATTCAGAGTC